TAGTTTCTTCTGTGTCAGTTTAATTTATAGTGCATCATTGTGAGTATAGTGTTTCGTATTTAACTTTGGTCAAATCCATACGGCACTTTGACCTTTATTTAATTCATCTTCTCATGGAAATTTTTTTTGCCATTGCAAAACTAATTGAATACACTCCCGGAACAGCCGAACATGTTTAATTCGTCATACATTTATTATAATAGATAGATAATTTTATTTTAACACGCTTACCATTGTCAACATACAAGTTGATTTCCACATGGGGCGTGTGCAAAAATGAAAATTACAATAGAATAGTAAACTACTTACATTTACGATACACAAGACACTAAAATGTATATTGAATGAAGTATAGCTAGGTTAGAAAGCTATTTACAATTAGTTGAGTACATATTTGTTTTGGGAAAGTGGGAAGCGATTTTTCTTTGAAAGGTCGCTAGAGAACTAATTTCTTTAAGTTCATTTGGCAATGAGTTCCAGACTTGAGGCTTTTTTTCATGCTATTGGTTCGTGGCTGAGGTAAGCATAGTGTTTTTTTAAAACCACGAAGTTGATAATCTGTTGATTCGCTTTTGAAACTAAATAAACTAGTAAGTGACTTTGGACCCGTGTTGTTAAGGAATTTGAACATGAGCTTTGCTTTACTTTTTTGCCTTTGAATATCAAGAGACTCCCAATCTAAAGCTCTCAAAGCAATTTCGTGATCAACAACATTACTCATGTTTGCGATGATTCTAGCAGCTCGATTTTGAAGTTTTTGTTAAATTTTTTTCCGGGGGGTGAAGTAAAACATGTCACTTACGTGATTTGCGTACTGTGTAATGCTATTGATATTTTTTAAGTATGTACATGAAGAATTCATTGTGAGCATAGATATGTATAATAAAGCCAAAGTAATCAGGTGCCCATATTGTTATCACCCAATTACTAGGTCCCTTTTGAGGAACGAAAACAAACTTTAATTTACGAGAGAGCTTTAATAACGACGTATTTCTGTTATTTTTTGGAACTTAAAGCCATGTGTAATGCATAAAATATGCTGAAAATATTTTAACTTGGATAGAAGCGGTAGATTTTTGTCTTTCACGCTTATAAAGTCTATGATTTTTGCATTTTTACTTACATTTTTACTTAAGCTCATTTTATACACAAAACACATTTTTGAAAATGCTGTTAGTTAAAAATTTCTAAACAATATTTAAGACTAAAATTCTCGCAGTAGGATGTGGTTAAAGTATTTTAAAATGGAAATATATTTTAGTGATGCATTCTGACCTACCCTAGATCCGCTACCTGTCCTCCGTCCATCTAGGATCGGAAGCTCTAGAAATTTTTTTAAGGGGGACTCAAAAATGTCACTTGCATATTGTACGTACTGTGTAATGCTACTGAAATTTTTCAAGTTATGTGCACAAAGAATTCATTGTGGGCGTTGGCGTCAATTCTGCGATAATTGGTATTCATATATTCTGTTATGCCTGGTTGATTTCTTTTGAAAGTGAAATTGTTTTGAAGAGAAATTACCCAGGCATAGCAAAATATATGAATATGGTCCCCCCTATTAACACAAGATTGACGCCAACGTCTCCCACAGAGATGTTGCGGAGACGACTCACCCCTTGTTTCCCTCCTTGGTGCCCACACTATGTATAGGATATACCTGATGTCTATTTGTTGTTACTTGTTTGTACATGTCATTAGACAAAATAAAACGTCTATCTTCATATTTATGGAATGTCATAATTAATCAACGAATCCTGGCACGTACAAAAATGTTTGGTAATTTCTGTCTTATATACATCCAAGTGCATATAGCACTTTAATTTACATGCGTAAGATATTTATTTATTGACCGTTATTCTGGAATATTGTCAGAAGTAATTCACTTCGCTTTAAGAAGTCTCTATTTTCAAAAGTTAATCTCACATTTTTCATATATTGTACTGCATAAAGTATTGTCTTAAGTGACATATTGTCTCATTTTCATTTCTATCTTTTGATTTGGATTTGCGAACAAGGGCACTTCTATGTTTGTATAAATGTTGTAAAATGTCGCGTTTGGGTTAGTATTGCAGGCATGAAAGGTTCTATAACCTTTAAAATCTACGACTTTTGTATTGTATAGGCTCAGTGACGTGCTTTGGTGAAAAAATAACAAACGCTAGCTGTCCTAACAATCAATACATGGTCATAAAAAAGGCAGAATATCGTGGATTGAGTGAAGGAAATGTTTGTGGTTCAAGTTACAATTACAGTTGTAGCTTCGATGTTACGTGCCATTTAAAAAAGACGCTGTGATGGTCAACGGGTGTGTAATATAAATGTTGATGATAATCTCTTACCTTCCAATATTTGTGTTGGCCTGAACAAGTATCTTTACTTTGAATATCAATGTAAAGACACCATGACGTCATTGGATGATATCTGCTACGGTAAATACATTATGCGTATTCATGCATGGACAGATGAAATGACACGCAACAAATTAAAGCCTTGTTTTTTCTTTCTAGATACGACTGGATTTTTCTTGAAACATGTCGAAACTGGAAAGTGTATTTATGATACAGAAAAATACAGTCATCACTAGGAGCAAGAACTCTTCGATTTTTGGAACTTTCCCACAACTGTCTTCATCCTGCATCTCAGTTTAAATTCTTAGATAACAGCGCCATATTGAAGTTGAACGTACCAGGTTGTCTTCAAGGAGTTCATAAATGGGTAAATGGTTATCGTCTTGATATGTTGTATATCCACACTGATACGCGCAACATTAATGACGCTGCTTGTGTCAACAACAATGCTGTAAAACAAACCTCTTGGGGAGGTCTACAAATACGGTACGACAAAGCTGGATATCAATTTCGATGTTTAAGACCTTGGACTTCTAAAGAACTACAAGACAATCAAGGAGTTGATCCTTATTTGAAAATGGTTAATTGTAAGTCTGCACCAAAAAAGCAATTTCATTTCGGTAAGGGTTATTTTGTTGTTAATTCATATTTCGGTCCACCAAAATTCAAAACACATCAAAATATTTTAAATGATCACAAGTTATTCAAAAACACGGTACGTCAGCTACGAAAACATGAGAAATCAGCTCAGCACACAAGAAACAGTCATATTGGTATTCAAAAAGAAGGAACTTCATTAAATAAAAATAATTTTTATTGGTACACCAACATGTCGGCCATGATGTCAGGTGGCAATGTTCTTTAGACTTGTTTTTTCTTGTGATTTAATTAATACAATAGAAGAATCCGATCTAATATAGTCTTTTTAATGCAATTCCGATTTTGGGGTTTTGTATTTTTACTTGAAATCGCTGTGGCAATTTAGGGAGCTAGTGGCTTTCGCACAAACGTCCGTTATTTTCTCATTTTCTGCGCGTCAGTATCAATACGCTTACAGTGATAAACTTTAAATAAAACGAAATTTTACATACGCAAGTGTTACTTATCTTTGTAGATTGAATTTCTCGAACATTTGCTGTTTTTTTTCATTAATTAACACCTTTTAGAAATAATGTCCCACAGTTACTTAAATTTTTTTTTTCTTGCAGGTTCAATAGCGTCTTTTCGACAAAAGATGACGGACGTCAGCTGTCCCAAAAGTCAATACATGACCATCAAAAGTGCATCATACCGCGAATTGACTGGAAGTAATATTTGTGGGTCAAGTTATGATTACAGTTGTAGTGTCGATGTCACGTGTCATCTGAAGAGACACTGTGATGGCAAACGAGAGTGTATTGTCATTGTTAATGATAATCTTTTCCTTTAAACATTTGTCCTGGTTTGAATAAGTATCTTTGTTTTGAATATCAATGCAGCACCACATCGTTTGTTGAAATTTGTTACCGTAAGTTTACTTACATCAATTTTCATTTTTACAATTTGTTAAAAATTTGATGTTGATAAATACTTTAATTAATTTAATTATACAATAATTTCTAGCTAAATTATGTTAGAATAAATCATGTATTTCAGAAACAGCTTTCTCAAATTCAATTTAATTCCAAAGGCAGCATCAGAGAATATATATAATATATTAATCCTAACACGGTTTAATATGCATGAAAACATGTGACTTGGACGAGATTTGAACTCGCACCTTCGGGATACTAGTCCGCCGCTCTACCTGTTGAGCTACCAAGCCCACAGGGTGTGGATACGAGTCAAATCTCTTTAAACTGCGTATTGACTCGTCTCCGATCCCTGTGGGCTTGGTAGCTCAACAGGTAGAGCGGCGGACTAGTATCCCGAAGGTGCGAGTTCAAATCTCGTCCAAGTCACATGTTTTCATGTGCATATTAAATCGTGTTAGGATTAATATATTATAAATACAATTTAAGATAAAAGCGTTGAACTTTCGACTCAGAGCAAATTTTCATTTGTTTGCAAAATTGAAAAGATTGTCGTTACAGATAATGCTGTTTCTCCCTTCTCAAAAACATTGAAAAGACAACGTTTATAAAAGTATGTTTCATGCAGTGCGGTGTTTGAAATTAAATGTAGATATGATTTTCGCACTTTGTTGGACAATTTAAGCAATTGTCTCATGAACCTGAAAAATTCAGGTGACTCAACGGGATTCGAACCCATGACCTCTGCAGTGCCGGTTCAGTGCTTTGACCAACTGAGCAGGTCAATTTTGTTGGGCTGGTGTTTTTCTCGTGAAAGGAATGTCATATGAAAGAATGTTTCGTGCAGTGTGGTGTTTGAAATTAAATGAAGATATGATCTTCGTACTTTGTTGAATTTTTTTTTGTCGAATTTTTTAGGTTCATGAGACAATTGCTTAAATTGTCCAACAAAGTGCGAAGATCATATCTACATTTAGTTTATAAAAGTGTTTGTTCTCTAATTTTTTTAGTTGAAACGGCATACCTGTCAAATTCAATATTCCCAAACCAAGGAGTTGTAAATGTTATCACGAAGTATGATGGTAACTTTACAATCTGTAAATAAAGTTCCTTAGATAAAGTAAAAGACGAGATTTGCATGCAATTTGGTTACGCTGCAGCTGACTCTATCAAAATATGGACATCAAGCAAAGGCGATCAAATTTTTTTATATGGAGAGTTATCTTGTAACAACCAAGCAAAAAATCTTTCTCAATGCGTTATCACAACGAAAGAGAAATGTTCCCATCATTCATTATTAAAATGTAAGTATAGACTTACTTTTATCATCATGATTTACATCTATCATCATGACTTACCTCTATCATCATTACTTACATCTATCATCATTACTTACCTATATCATCATGACTTACCTATATCATCATGACTTACCTCTATCATCATGACTTACCTCTATCATCATTACTTACATCTATCATCATTACTTACCTATATCATCATGACTTACCTCTATCATTGTGACTTGCCTCTATCATCATTACTTACATCTATCATCATTACTTACCTATATCATCATTACTTACATCTATCATCATTACTTACCTATATCACCATGACTTACCTATATCACCATGACTTACCTATATCATCATTACTTACCTATCACACCTATATCATGACTTACCTATATCACATCTATATCATCATTTACATATATCATCTACACCTATATCACCATGACTTACCTATATCATCATGACTTGCCTCTATCATCATTACTTACATCTATCATCATTACTTACCTATATCACCATGACTTACCTATATTCATATGACTTACCTCTTCCATCCTGACTTACCTCTATCATCATGGCTTATCTCTATGTGAATGTTTTTTCATAGGTCATATCTGTGCCAGGCCGTTGTTAAACGACACAAAAAAATTCCCTGACTCATTGTTTTCCGCTTCAAAGGCAATAAATTTGCACAATGCCGCCAATGCAAGAATATCCAGTGGCAGATCGTGGTGTGCTCCTACTGCTGATGGAAATCACTATCTTCAAATAAGCTTTGAAAAACTTTATGCTATTAACTCCGTTGCAATTTTTGGAGACACAACAACCTTAAGTTGGGTGACAAAATATCACATTAACACCACTTCTGATTTAATAAACTGGGAGTCAGTATCTAATCAGAATTCACAAAAAGTAAAGTGGATTTAGAGTATTTTTGAAACTGAATTTTGCAATGTTATGATAAACTTTTTCACATGCTAGTGCGACTGCTGAATTGTAGGATTTAACGATTTTTCAGGTTTTCAAAGGAAACAAAAACGCTTACAAAGACGCTGCTATATCAAACATCAAAGGAGGTACAAGGACGAGAGCTTTACGACTTATTCCAGTGACCTACAACAATCGACCCTGCATAAGGGTAGAACTTTACGGTGGAGGTAAGAACTTTATTAAAATTGAGAACAGTGGCGTGGCCCGGGAAAGGAACTGGAGGAGCTTGTCTCCCCCCAGTTATTTTAATGACCAATTTTGTAATTGAAGGATGAAATGAAATAGATTTCGAACAGCAATAAAAAGATTTGCTTCCTGTTAACAGGTACATAGCAAAGTATAATAAACAGCAGTCGTCAAGTATTGTTATTTGTAAAATGGACTTGAATACACTCAATAGCACATCTAACGAAATGCCGCCATTCTAAAAACGTGTGGCTTTTAGATTGTTATAAATCCTGTCTGTGAGAAATAGCGTTTTAGACAACATAAAGTCAAACATTTCTTTAAGAGAGCATGCCTCTGAGCCCCCATTGAAGTCTCACACATCTGACGTTTTCATTGTCCCTCCTAGTCTAAACAACCTGGCGGCGCCACTGATTAAGAACTATGTTATACTGCAAAGCTAGTAGTGTAAGCTAACTTCTTTTGATCATCCACCAATAAATACAACAAAGAATTATCCTTTCATATTTAATTTTCTTCTAAATTGTAAAGTTTTCATCTGCAAGTTATAGTTCGTAACGTTTTAGAGCTTTTAAGTCGTTTTGGACTCTTGCAAAGTATTTTTTCCCCAATTTCTTTGCTTTTGATTAGCCCAAAGTGCCGGCAAATTAGAATTTTTTTTTAAATTTCCTCCATCCTCCCATGTACTTCTTAGATATTTGCGAATGTGTATGTGCTTATTTGTTTATGAATATGTGTTTATTGCAAAAATTGAAAGTTACATAATTGTTCACAAAGCAGAGGTGGAACCAGAACGTTAGTTTAGATCATGTTAACTCTCTCTTAAGATTCTACCTTTCTTTTAAGATTAGTACTGAAATAAATAATGGAATGGATTGTTAAAATCTTGAGAATGATAATTTTCATTACAGCAGAACGTTATATAGTAAAATCATTGTTTACGCTTTATTTACATTTAATTAGTGCACTTGAAAAGCAAATAGAAAAGGGTGTTTCAAAAAAGAAGACCTTTTGAAATTAACGAATTGTAATAATTTCAATGTATATCACGTACATTGCCAATATCATGGGTACATTCTAGCAGCAAAACATGCACAAGTATGCACCAGTATGATTTGCATAGTCCTTAGGCACTGAAATTTTACAATAGGTTAATTTTAAAGATCTTCTTTTGTTATACATCCTATATATCAAAATAGATCTTTCTCTCTTGTTGTAGAATTGCTTCCGAGCAGCCCAACAGGTCTCAATATCACTTACAGCGCGTCAAGATACGTTATAATATCGTGGATGGATCCCCAAAACATTGCAGTGACTCCCGGCACAGATGATGTAAATCCTTTGATAAAGTTTAGGTTCATATTGAGGAAGCAAATGAAGGTCATTTTAAACAAAACTGAGCCATCTAACGTCGCTAAGCCTTACATGTTGAGCAATCTTATTCCTAACACAATGTACACAGTAGTTGTAACTGCTGGAAATTCTGAAGGTTTTGGTGATGCAGCGAGTGTTTCTTTTAAGACGAAAGAAGATGGTAAGATTTTATTTCATCCTATTGTGTTCTTCCTTTTTATATGTGTGCATCATTTCAAACATAGCTAGGAGAGAAAGCAATCATATGCTACTTAAATCTTAAAAATAAAGACGTTTTTACTCGTTAAAATTTCATTGTGTAAGTGAACGTGGAATATTTTCCCTGATTATTATTTGTGGATTCTGGCCATGACTAACTCGACGAAGCAAACTGCCCCATTCCGTTTCTTATAATTCATAAGTTATAAAAAGTATGAAACTTTTCGTGCAAGCAAGCCACGTTCATGTTCAACGTGATTGCGAACCTTTTTTCTACAATTATTCAGTTCTTTTTTTCTACAGTACTGTGCAGAAGTTTGAGGTTTTAAAGTTATATATTAATTTAGTGAAATTGTTTCATCTTAGAGCAACGTGTCTTTGTATTTATTATTACCACCACGAGCAGCGAGCTACCAAACGACAAATCCTCCTTCTAACCATCATATGTTTTTATGGCCATCAATGCCATTCCAATTTTCAAAGATGGCTGTTAGCTCTTTATTGGCAAGGATTATTTTCTGACATTTTCTTTCTTCTTCATCAAAAATGCTCAATGGGAAGTAAAATACTCTCGATAACAGTGTTTCTATAACAAATATTCTTCTTGTAGGGATCGGATTGAAAATTTTTACCTGAAAACACCATATCTGCTCAGTGCTTCAATGACCAGACACTTTGCTCGCAATACCTATCGTAACCAGTCCATGTGTTTGGAGTTACTTTTTTTCTCTTGACATCTTTCAACTCTTGTTCTTCAGTATTTGATCATGATCTGGGAATATTGTTCATTTCTTTTGAAACTGAACAACAAGATCAACTGCCATTTCTTGACATTTTACTAACAAAATCTCACGACAGCTGTACAACATCTACATACCACAAACCAACGTACACAGGACTTCTGACGAACTATTTTAGTTTCACACCACTTCATACAAACCGGACTTATACGCACTAATCGACAGAGCAACAAACTTCAATACGAACAATGGCTTTCAACGAGACATAAAAACATCACATCCACTCTCACGAAACTCTTTCCTTTTATTAACAAAACGATATCTCGACAACAAACATAGCAAAACCTCAACCTAGACACCGAAACTTGACACGATCACAACACAAATGAAAATTCCAAAATAACAATCTATACTTCAAACTACATACATGGACATTACTGACAACGCAGACTTACAAACATTATGAAACGCTTCTGTACAGATATTGACATTCGACTAATTTTCACATCATTCAAAATCAAAACCTTTTTCATTTAAAGACCGATCCTGATTCAATTAAATCTATGGTATATGAATTCAATTGCGATGTAATTCGATACATTGAAACTTCGCGCCATTTATCCACCAGAATCAGGAACATACCACAACAGACAAAACTCTCATCTACCGACACCTTCTTCTCATTCATGCAAAACTATTCTCCTCTTGTTTCAAAATCATCGACATGCCGACAGTTCATCTTAAATCAAAGTCACATTAACAAAACTAACCTGATCAATGTTCAAGTTTTAAATACGATATTTGTTTATAATACACTGACGCTCCTCATTAAATTATCTTATTTCTTTTTATTGTTCTAATGTATCATAAACTTTTATATAACCGTATCACCTATTATTTCATTCATACTGAAGATGGCATCATGAGATGTCGAAACATGTCTATTTTCAAAAGTTGTCGTGTATAAAAATGTGATCTGGGAAAATTATCATTGGTCTTTATAAGTTTTATCATATCTACCTTCCTCATTTTATTCAAATGGCACGCAGACGTTTCTTCTATTTCATTGTGATGGTGTAACAGTAAAACTTCTGTGCTTCTTTCGAGTTTGGTTCTTTTCACATTCAAACTTGTTTTCTCTTTCAGAATGTTTTCATTTACAAAACAAAACGACGCAGTAAAACAATGTATTTCACCTGTCGGACGTATGTGTAACTATTTGCACATATAGACAATTTTACTTACAATTTAAATTTGTTAAACATGGAATGGTAGAAAACCATGTTAAAATATCAGATACGACCTTAGTTCACAGTATTATTTACCAGCCTAAAAACACTTCAGGTTCAAAATAAACGTTTGACTCAATGTTTTTCTTGAATACGACTAATAACAGAAATTTTAACTGTCTTAACTCTTTGTTCATGAATATTTAAATATAAAATCTCTGTATCATTGTTCATGGTTATCATCTTGACTCTGATAAAAGAAGAAAACGAAAATACCTGCTGCTATACCATATTTTATTTTTCTTATTCTGCAAATGGATCGATGGTGCAATATATAGCAATTCCTGGTTGTCCTCACTACTTAGCCATATTAACCTTGGCTGTTAGGATAGTCCGTCAACTTTGTTCATGATCTTTTTTTAAATTTAAAAAATAAATTTTAAACTCAAATGCTATTGTTGTTTTGAACCATTGATCTTTTTGGTGTCTTTTTTTGCAATACGCTTCCCATGGAAAATATGTATATTTTTTTTATTTCAGGTACTTATTCGTAATTGCCATGCAAGGTGACAGACAGAATCTTCCATCGCCTTTTACATTAAATGTTGAAGACTTAGAAACATATTCGACTCCTTCACCACCAAACCTTTACGTTTCTGCGGTACTTAAGCCAAGTGGTGATGGTATTTTCGTGTTTATACTTGGTGATGGCTCAAATTCAAGTATTTCGGGAAAACGAGGTCGTCGTTCTCCCGAAACAGTTTATTATAACGCTCCTCTAAAACCCAATACTACTTATCGAATTTTCCAGCGTGTGGTGATAAATGATCAGGTAATTGCTTGAATTTTTTTTTAATCACTTCTTTTTGTTTTTTTTTATCAAAATTTAATGCACTTCTTATCAGGGTGATTATTATTCTACTGAATGGAGTCCTTCAGCAAGAACTGCTTCAGAGCTACTTCCGCTTCCAGGTGATTTTAAGAGTATGGCTTTATTAATAGTCGAAGCATAACTTTAAACGAAATCGCGGAGAAAAAATACCAAATGGACAGTGGAAATTTTTTTTCAATTTTTTCCAATAAAATAACTGTTTTTATATAAATGAATTTGCTGGATTCAGAAGCGTTCTTTCTACGATGTGCAAATTTGAAGTTCGATATGGAAAAATCTGAACACTGCTTCTTTTCAATCGTGTGGTGATAGTGCATGCAATATTGAAGGGCATGTGTCTTTCTCCCTTTTTTTTTCTCTCTTAGGCGATATTAAAGATGATGATAACAATGACAACTACGTAACTGCAATTGCTGCAGCTTCTGCAGCTGCTGTTGTTTTCACTAATGTCTTTGTGGTCCTAATAATTCTTTGGAGAAGGTAGGAGGTGTTTAAAATGAACAGTAAAGTCGACTGACAGCATTAGTGTAAGAGGTGAATGTTTGACACTTTCACATGCAATTTTTCACTTCTTGCAATTGATCTTACGTGCTCATATAACTAGCTTAGAAACACTGCAAATGCTTTTTTTATCTTACATATCAGACTCTTCTTCACAATTGCGCATCATATATTGTCCCATCTTTCTCAGAGTAACAAGAGAAATTATCAAATACAATTGAGCATTAAATATGTTTGCAAGATTTTACCAAACTTCCTTTTAAGGGATTTAGAAACCTGCAGAATATATGCACAAACAAATGACAACTCTTAATTTTTTACACTATTTGACAATGTCTGAGGATATTGTTTTGGTTGTAATAAAAGAGAACGCATGAAGCATTTTCTGTTTTAAAAAATGGCAAGCACTGTTTTGTAAGATAAAAAGGAGCATGATACGCTTAAGAAGATTTTGTACTAAGAAGTACAAGCAGGCCAAACTTTGCGTACAAAGAACGACGAACAATCAACTCGTGGGTACTCTACTACTACTGCCTTCTGCAAATGATGGTATATTTTTCTAGAAGACGTGCTGTTGTTAAAGAGCCTAAATCGCATTTGCAATCAGAACATGAGGATAGGAATGGACAAGAGCTGTCCGTTAGAAACGACGCGTTCATCGTTAATGACATTGCGGATCCTGTTGTACGACCAAATGAAGAAAATATTTATGCAAACAAGTCAATTTCCGAAGAAGAAATGTATGGAAACAAAGAAAGTAAGTAATTTTGGAAAATGTCGTTTTTTTTATGACGTTGGTAGTTTTTCTTGATTACATTGCTTAATATATGAGACATGTTTTATTGAAACGCTCGGTCAGTCGACAAAAAGTAGAAGTTTTTTCCATTTATGTAGTTGATGACAATAATAATGTGGTTTAATTTGAATTTAATTGGAGTTCCAGGTAGCTCTGTGTAATAAATCTGATTTCAATATAATTGATTATATTTACAACATTGCCTACTATGAAAATGATTGACAATACGCTTGCCGTAACGTTAAGCATGAAAAGCAAAACAGCTTGATGATAAAGCTATCTTGACATAGTAAATTGTTGTATATTAGTACATAGCCATTGTGTAGCTATGTCCTTTATCTGACAATATTTTTCACATTGTTATTTTTCAGCTATCAAGACCCGTAATCGGTTACCAATTCCACTCGCAAATTTTACTGAGCACGTAAAAAAACTGAGAAGAAAAAACATGGAGGAATTGAGGCTCGAATTTGAGGTAATGTGTTTTATGTGCTCTTTTCTACAGATTTGAAATCCTTAGCGGACTATAAATTCAGTCAAATTTCTCATATTATATGTGCTGTTATGAGTAGTTTAGCATCTTCGGCTCAATCCAACATTAAAAATAAGCAGAAAATTTACGAAGGGTGGAAGCTGGAATGAGGTGATAAAAATGAAATTTGTTGTCATGAAATGAAAGTTTGAGTATTGGCTTGCAAAGTGCGGAGATTTTAAAAAAGAGTACGTCCGCCGCACTGATAGGTAAACTTAGGTGGTTTTCTTTTTAACTCGTGCACGGCTCTTTCATGCACAACCGAAAACAATTATATACGAGATTAGATTGTGTATTCATATCTATGCTTGAACATTACAGGGTAAACTACGCAACCCAAATGTATGAGGATTCACGTTTCAGTAGCTATGAGTTTAACACACTTGTTCAGTTTTGTATTTGCTTACTATTAAAATTTGCAGGACTTACCAAATGGTCAGAAATGCAACTGGGTTATTGCCAAAAGTCCTATGAATTCTGCCAAAAATCGATATGGAAACGCAGTCACGTGTAAGGCTATATTTACTCGAAAACCATGCAATTACTGACAAAGTTGTTATGGAAATACTGTCATGTGTCAGATTATTGACACAGATACCTTACAATACACACAATAATGCTTTTAAAACACCGTCACATGGAAAAATGTTTGGCCTAGATACCTTTCAAAAGTAGGAAAGACAGCTAGCCCGGCTATGTAAATTTCAGATCATCATCATTATATTTATTTCTTTAGAATTTTATTGCTTTCGAATTAAAGATGAACGTAAAAAAATTTACAAAGCCGGACTAAATAATCGTGCTGGCTCACCCCTCCTTATAATCACTAAATGCAGTGGCATGATAGAGATTTTTCCGTGGAAAAATTTTAACACTAACAAAACCTGATGGGGAAACAAAATCCCAATTTACGTTGCAAACCACTGAACATAATGATATCAATTAAAAAGTGATATGTGGGAGTGTAATTGTTATGTAAAAGAAAGGAAAATGTCAAAAACGAAAATTGTGTGTTCGAAACGTTATTTTGTCTCTTCTAGACGACCATTCTCGTGTGATACTCTCTGGTGATGAAAAATCTGACTATATCAACGCTTCTTTTGTCGACGTAAGTTTCATTGAAAACAGTTTTTTGCTCGCAACATCGTCGACAGTTTACGTTAAAGATTCGCTCTTTTTTTCAATTTATACATCCTTGAACATGTTTGGATGTAGAGTGTCCAGTTTAGTAGAGTCCTGAGAACGACTTGTGTTGTTGATGTTGATTCGTTGACTCTGAAGATGACTACCTCTAAGGTTGTCAAACGTCAGTCAACATCAACAATAACAGTCCTTCTCAGGACTACACTAACCTGGAAGATCTGCATCCACAAACATGTTACGATACTCCTGTTCAAACCATTTACTTTATAAATCCTTTATTAACTTTGTAGGGGAAATGTGAGAAGTACTACATTGCGACCCAAGGTATTTTATTAGTTTAAAATTTCATCAATATGTTGCCGTCAACGAATTTTCAACGTGATTGGATTGATGGCGCGTGATGCAACTCCCGATGTTTGAGTTGCAGCTTACTTTTGTTAATTGAAACTTGCGGGAAACACTTTTTCTTTTTCTTTTTGTAGGTCCCAAACCTAAAACTGTAAACGATTTCTGGAGGATGATTTTTGAGCAAAAGTGTCCAACAATTGTAATGTTGACGACTTTGAAAGAAATGGGAAAAGTATGAAAATGTTATTTTGGATGGTTTTACATCGAAGATCTTTTATCTTTTGTGCTTTCTTCTTAAAGGTGAAATGCGAAAAGTAATGGCCAGATGAATCTAATGTATACGGTAAAATTCAAGTGACCATCACTGAGACAAAAACATTCGCTGATTATGTCACTCGCATTATGGTTGTTAAAAAGGTAACTTTTTTGTTTCCAGTCTTTCTTTCTGTTGCTGCTTGTATGTTTATTTTCTCTTGAATAAGATACAAGGCAGACCTGAGCCAATTCTTTTTGTTAAACAAATTGGGTTTTTTTGTTGTTTTTTTAAACCTGACCCAGAATTGTCACATAATCATATAGTTTTTTTTTATGTTCATTTATGTCTGCGTTCATTTTACGAACGAAACAGGTTATTCCATGTATTTGTACATCTTCGAGGCTAGTCTAGCTCTTATCACAACTGTAGCTGCTGTTGGTGTTGACTAAAATGTTGGACATGTTTAGAGGTTGCCATTATCCGAGTGAAGTCTGCCGTATTTAAATACCAACACCAACAATTCCTGACACGAAAAATACGACTTACCGGATTTAACTTCTCACCTGACTGATAATCACCACCACTAAGCAAATGATGCCGAAATGCCAACATGAACAGAAGTATCTCAGAAGTGCACATAATGGGGAAGAGATGGGAGGGATAGTTATCAATATATATAACACTTCCATAAGAGGATGTCAAACTTCAATGAAAGTTTGAAGATTTATGTATAGAATGAAAAACGTCAGTGACGCTTTTGAGACGTAAGCGAGGAATCAAAGGCTTCGTGAAAAAGTGTTCATCAATTGTTCACCTCATGTTATCATTTTTTTGTGGGACAATAACAAATATAGCTAAAGTATAAATTTTCTTCAGCCTCCTTTTTTTATTTTCAATTTTTCCTCGGAAAAGGATGAGCAGTATCATTTACTTTTATAGAACGGCGAACATCACGAAGTCGAGCAGTTTCACTACAAATCATGGCCAGACTATGGAGTACCTCGTTATCGAACACAACTCTTGACATTCAGGAACTATTTCAAGCTATCGCACAAGACGAAATCCGGTCCTGTCGTCGTTCACTGTAGGTTAGTTGGTCTATTGCAACTGCGTCGTTACATTATTTAGAAATATACCTGAAATACTCATCAATATTTTTATGATAGATTCATTTTTTAAGAACATTTTTTTATATGCAATTTTTTTTTCATGGTAAAAGGACCTTCTTTCCAAACTTTTTCGTGACTTTATCCATTGTCATTATTAAAGAATTAGTAAACTGTTAAACAAAATCACATGCTTCCGATCGGGGTATCTCCCAACAAAATGTTTTGCAAATATTATCTTAGTTTTACGCATGATTTACAATGAATGGAATTGTTTGTTAACATATTCTAAGAAGGTAGCTAAACAAACATTAAACTGATCTTGCTTCTCTATTCAGTGCTGGTGTTGGTCGTACTGGAGTATTTATTGCGTTGGATAAGATCCTTGATGATCTTGATGATGAATATGAAACAAACATTGATGTATTTGGCTTTGTGGAAGAGATGAGATCGCGGCGCATAAACATGGTTCAGACATCGGTAGGTCACTTAAGAACATCTGGACAAACAGCATTGATGGAGTATATTTAGTTTAATTGATTTGTGGGTAAACTAACTCAAATCTTAAAAGCATATTTGAAAGCACATCAGATCAAACTTTTTTCCAAAACAAGGATTCCAGGTTTGCGAGAAATCTTATACATTTATTATTTTCTTATCAACCAAGGATCAATACATGTTCATTCATGACGCCATTATCGATCACATCCAATGTGGAGCGAATGAAGTTGCTGCTGTTCATATCAAGATCGAGATTGCACAGCTCTCTAAGAAAAGTAGGAACGGAAAAACTGGATTTGAAGAAAAATTTGAGGTTTGTACTATTTTTTTGTGATGATCATTTCTTATGCTGATGCCCATCTAATGTATGTGAAGACTTAAGTTTCAACTTAAAATCATTCCCTATAAAAAAAAGTTAGATAGGAGTGCAGATGAACTCGTACTCAGGTCGTCGTCAGGTCATTAATCAAAAAGCCAAGAAGTATATTAACAAGATTCAACATTACATCAGTCCTGATGAAGACACTAGACTAAACTAACTAAAGACTCAAGATTCAACGTTAGATTTCTCTAAATGAAGACAAAAGTTTGAAGGAATTAAATTTTTCTTGACAGCGTTTACAATCAATCACACCAGAACATCCTGAAGAACTTTGTGAGGCAGCACTTTCGGATGAGAACAAGAAGAAAAATCGTTATCCTAGAATATATCCAAGTACGTTATTTATACAAATTGAGATAGATATCAAGTTAGTCACTGACATTTATGCAAAGTGAAGTACCCGCCTTTGTTAATGGGGGGAATAGGTATTGTTTTGTGGCAGGAACACGAGCTGTCAATTTTTTAAACTTTGCTTCTTTTTAGAAACTAATCGTCCTATTCTTCGGCGTGTTGAAAACTTAGAAACTTCCGATTACATAAACGCATGTCTTGTTGATGTAAGTTGAGACATTTTCTGAATAATATAGTTTGCACGTGATTATTAATTTCTTATGTAATAGAAGCATTTCGGGTATTGAACACGATATCTGATAATGACTACCGTTATACAAAAAGGTCTTCGTTTCCTGGTGATTGCAAAAAATGCCTAAAGACTTTGTCAATGATTTTTGGGGTTATCTTGGCAAGAATTACTTCATTGCAACCCAGATGCCTTTGAAGGTAACCATCAACGACTTTTGGAGGATGGTCACTCCATATAAATGTACGACCATCGTTTTGCTGGATCAGCTAACTGATGATAACAAGGTTTGTGACGTTTTCATAAGAGCGGGAACAATTTATATACTTAATGTAAGCATTGTGGTGTTTAGTGTGGACTTCAAACAAAATCGGTTGAACAGGATGGGGAGAGAGGATCAAAAGTAACAACTTGCACTCATTTTGCCTCATCTTTGCACTTAACTTTTTGTTGTTTATTTGTTTGTGTTTCATCGAAATACTCTTTGGCTCAGTCGTAATAACATTGTTCTTATGATTTTTATTTACTCATTTGGTGTAAAATACGTATGGGCAGCGTTATGTTATTTCAATATTATAACCAACATCGTAATTTTACAACCAGCATTCCTTTTTATCAATCATGCTTTTAATGTGTATAGTTTTTTGCACACGAATGAAAGGCTTCAGTTATTCACTTCTGGTCTAATTAGGAATATCCAATGTTTTGGCCCACGAAGAGAGCAACAAGTCGACCTTATGGAACATGTACTGTTTTGTTTGATTCAGTCGTAAAGAAAGAAGACATTGTTGTCAGAAAGCTCATTGCCTCTCCAACTTTGGTTAGTAGTTTAGTATTCTTATTGTTGCGAAGTATTGGACAAATCTTTTTTATCATTGTTTTAAATTGAGCTTGCAGGATGATTTTATTGTGTCATAAACTGCAAACCTTCCATGACAATATTTTTACTTCTTATTTGTCGTTCGTCATTGTAATGTATCTGACACCAAAAGCAAAAAAGCCTTATAATCTATCCTGTCATTGCGAGCTTGGGACTTTTCTAAAAAGTTAGCTTTTGTTGGAAGCCGGAAACGTAAGCAATCGGGCTTTATATTACTTTTACCATCAATACCGATGTGACGTCTTGTGATCAACATAACATGTTTCCTTTTGCCGCAGTAAAAAGTTGCCCTTTACCAATGTAAAACTAACTTTTTCTAATTCGTTACGAAATGAACTAATATTTATTTTTGGCATTGTTATATTTTATCCCATTTGTTGGTCGTGCTGTTTTAAACAAATATTGGGCAACTTTGAGTCGGTTTCTCATTTTGCAGCGTAAGCTTATTATCGTCAAGTGTTTAATAAACGAAGTTTTGTCATCCAGTTTTGTGATTGTTTTTTGGTTATTTGAAAGTATTTACTGACTTCATGAATAGATTTGATGTATATTTTTTGCAAATAACATCACTTTGACATCACAGCTTATAATAACCATTATGTAATAAGCATCATAATTTTGCTTTGTGTAGCATTTTATTTTCAATCAGCTACAATAGATTGATTAATATTGGAAAGTAGATATTTTTATTTAATGACATGTCGACAAAAACTGCTATTTTTCTATCTAATTTTGTGTTGTGATGCCACATTGATTTTGCAAGTTGAATTAACTTAAACATCTTTTGAAAGATGTAAAATAACGTAGTTCTACTGAGAAAGTTATTAAGTAGTTTAAATGATTTTTATAATGCAATCATGAAGCTATGTGGTAAAATTTAATTTCATTATCACTTTAAGCACAAGCTTTTCAATTATTGCATTTTATAAGAATATCTTGACGTACGACTGAAGTTGATTCCATACATTGATATGTTAAGCTTATAGAAACTCAACATATCATGCGAAAAATTTCTTCTGTAGGACATCAAAGAAGGTCATATGGTTCATATAATTCAGTATTTATCATGGCCAAATCATGGCGTACCTAAAGATGTTCGCAGTTTGTTGCATGTCCTTTCAGAAGTCGAAGAAGCCCAAAGATCCGTGGAGGTTGAAGGACCTGTTGTTGTTGTCTGCAGGTATTGCAGTAGAAGTTTGCTACTCAAAGACATGTTTCCTGTAGTCAAATTCGTTGCAATGAATGATAATCTTAAAATAGTTTGAGGAATTTGTGTGTGATAATTTTTTTGCGATTTCCTTTTGTCAACTACTTTTATGTGTGATCAAGCTTTTGAAATATCCCCCCGTCAAAATTAATGGATTGAATGTACTGCATTTAAATTTACTCGGACGTTTTTCAATATTTTTTCGTTTGTTCATTGAACTATTTACGTAGTTTTATGTTATAAATTCACCATTCTTATGTTACCGCGACTACAAGTGAGCCCTTAAAACGTTGACTCAATTTAGAAATATCAATTTTTCAATTAGTGATGGAGCAGGTAGATCAGGTACCTATATCACCATTTCTAATCTTGTGGATCGAGTTAAAATCGTCCAAGTCATCGATGTGTTTCAGTGCATAAAGTTGATCCGAAGTAGACGCCCACAGTTTGTTGAGACAGCGGTACGTGGTGTGGCCATCTTTACAATAGTATCACGTAGAATTTCAATAGAGTGTTTGCATTGTACTCCATTTTGGGGGAGTACATCAAAGTGCCGATGCTCAGAGAGCATGAAATTTACATAATTTCTTTTCACTATGTGCGATTTTCCCCAACATGGCGACTGATGAAAACACTCTATTATGTCATTTTTTTCATGTAATGATCGTTTTTATTCATCAAATGAAATATTTCATTTGTGAAATGTGACTTCCACCAGTGAAAGTGAATCTCATATACAAAGTTTTGGTTTGTTTTGATTTTAAATTGTTGTTTCATTGGAACTGTTTGACATTAATTATGTTTGAGTTATTCATACTTACTTAAAGTTATTTACATATGCATTTTATGTTGCATTTATTTTATATTACATCTTATATTACATGCATTAAATTTTATATTAGGTATTATATTTTATATTAGATTTGATTATGTTTACGTAATTTATATGTCATTTTTTGTCTGTGTTTGGATATTTCTAATGATTTCTTCTTGATGTTTATGTAGGAGCAATTCAAATTTTGTTACAGTGCAGTGTCAGGCGTGTTGGAGTCCTTTGACGAGTATTCAAATTTCACAGAATTAGCAACGATTTGAGAACGTTAAACTTTAGTTTATACTCGTAGTTAAATGTCGGTATGTAATATCTATAGTGGTATGTAATAGATGAGTCAATTAGATTTCCTCAATGTTGCTTTGTTAACCTAGAGCGAAAACCATTCGTACAAATAATGTATTAACTAGTGATTGTAGAAAATATGATTTAATTTTAAGTATTTTATAAGTTTTTAACTACAACGTATACGACGAGGCTTTATTGTATGCGGTGGAAGATCCACGAAAAAGAAATAATTGTATGTATTTTAAAAACAGCGGTATGATATCGTCTTAACGACAACGACTTCTTTACACTGAATTTATGTGATTATTTTGAACTTTTTTACGACCAACATGAATATTTTTTTTTAATATTTGCCGTCCCATCTCAATGAAATGTTCTAACTATAGCCTTTAGAAAATAATCATTTGTACCAATAATAACAATGCGTGACAGAAAGAGTACAAGCTGGTTTGATTCCATTTAAATTTAATTCTAATCATAGATGAATTACATCATTGAATACTTTTCAGTTATCGTTATTTAAAACGCCAATCTTACCCTTTCTTCAACTTTAGTATATTGTTTATTTGTCAGGCACGTAAAATTAATATAGTACCTACCTGTACCAGGTACTATATCCTTCTCAGGACTATACCAACCTGGACGATCTACATTTACAAACATGTAACGATACTCCCGGGTTCAAACCATTTACTTTATAGTACCTGCCTCTTTGGTATGCTTAAACATGTCACGATTAGAAACATATGTTAATAATGTTGAACTGTAATTTTCAAAACAAACTGAAATGACCATACTGCTTGTCTCAAGAAAAAAGGTCATCTTGAAAATCATCCAGCATTAAGAATATGCATGATTAAACTGTAATTTTCCCAAGAAAGTGTTTTTTTGGCAGAGTTTCTTGTCTGGGATTTAAAATGTGCTGAAATATATACGCATGTGTTAAGCCTGGTTCACACGAGTAAAATAAACATAAAAGTCGAGACTTTTTTCCTATTGCTCTAGAGGTGTATAAAGGCAAAGACTTTGGGATTTTCTTTAAAGCTTCTTTTTGTTCTTCTCTTAGCTTGAAATTTTTCCCTATGCTTGCGCTTATGTCGATTATGCCACATGCTTTGTTGATTATCTTTGTTTTATCTTTTGTCTACGCTTGTTCTTGTCCTTACTTCAATTGTGTGAACTAGGCTTTATTGTATTCTATAGTGTTTACGGCTCCTTGGCTCAATTAATCTGAATCATTCAAATTTTAGTGTCGGCTGATTGCAGGAGGAAAAATTCTTGATACACTTGAATTGAGCATCTTGTCAAATCTTGTCAATATTGTTTAATATATTTTTTTTTGAAATTTGTAGTGATTCAGTAATATTTTCATTATTTGTAATTGTTAAAGCTGAGCTGTTAAAATAAGCAACATTTATTAAAACATTAGCATTACCATTATATTTTATTTGAATTTTTTCAAATGTTACCTTAAGCGTTTCAACAAATTTTAATCCATTCATTGTTGTTAATATTTCTTTAATATAATATGTAAGATACTTTCTAGTGTTCTGTAATTGTTTTAATGGATCTTTATTGTTAATAATACTTATTTCATATGACTTTGTATAACCTTTAAGAGCATTGTTTGTTTCTCTTATTTTAACTCTTTGTGTTGGTATTGGTTTTTTATTTTTATCTGATAGCATCTGTGTATTGTTCTCATACTCTTTAACCATCTCTTTAACACTCTTTCTTGGTTTTGGGACGGGTGTTAATACTTTGATTAATTCGTTTTTTCTAAGTTTATAATAACCTTTAACCTTTTTTTCTTTAGCAATAACTTTTAACTGAGATACAGTCATTTGTTTGATATTTGATTGTGATAGTACTTTTTGTACTGGTTTGGAAATTGAAGTATTATTAACTTCAACCTTAGGCTTTTGATTTAATATTATATTGATTAAATCGTCTTTAGTCAAATTTGAAGTTCATCTTTATTCATATTAGGCATACTATATAAAATACTCATGTCTTTAAGTACTTTATGTTTTGTTTTATCTTTATTCATCTTATGCATATTATATAATATAGGTTTGTCTTTAAGTACCTTTCGATTTAAATAATCTCTATTCATATATATACTATATATTTTATTTTATTTTATTTTAAACGCACTAATTTTAATTATAGAAATAAATCTATATTTAAAACTTTTTATAAAAACTATATTATTTTTTATTTTTTTGAATTCGAACATGTTTTTTTGTCCGAAGATGTAAAGTTTTATATGCTAAACTATATGTTTTATTACATGAATCACAATGCCATGATTTTGAGAGCATATATGATGTCCTATGTTGTTTGATTTGTTCTTTAGTATAAATTTTTGGTCTTCCTCGTATTGGTTTATCTGAACACATATATACTAATACTATATATTTTATTTTTTAAATAGTTATTTAATGCGTTTAAGATAGATTCTAATAATACCAGAAGCAGCTATATGAGGACAATATTCATATAAATCAAATTTTATAACATGAATATCTTTATCTATATTGTTTATATCATACTTAAAATAACAATCTCTCCATCCATGATATTTATTAAACAGAGCATTAGTTATTTCGTTAAAACGTGGTAAATAATTATAACCACTATCTATTAAACTTGGTTTAAATGTATTCAATATAACAGGTTCGTGTTCTATATTTATTGAACATATGATATATAAAATTTTTTTAATATTTTCTATATTATATTTATCTTTTGAAAAAGATAACCAGTCTTTTGTATGTAATTCATATGAATCATTACATATATTATTATATTTATTATTATCTTTATAAGAAAGCTCATAAGATAATGATTTAATATACATGTTTTTTTCTTTCATTATTTCATCTAATAAATCTAAACAAACTTCATGTCCTTTAAATTTATATACATCTTTGTTTTTTATAAATTCAACCATTATATATAATTACTATATATATTATTTTTTTAAGGTGCGTTTAAATTATCCTTTGTTTTATACAATGTTTTTTCAAAATCCTTCAAAACACCTTCTATATTATAACTAGTTTTTTTACAACATAGAATAAAATCTCTAATCTTTTTTAATAGGTCTTTAAGATTCATATATAATCAAATATATAATAGTAAATGTTTTATTTCTTTGAATTTAACCAGGTGTTATAATAAGTGCAGTTGATGTTTTTATCCCACTCAAGGATTTTATATACTTCACCAAATAATCTATTATCAAAGATCCTTTTTGTCTTACTATTTTTCATATCTCTAACAGGGCGTTTTAATGGTATACCCCTCAAGCTGGCTAAACGTATTATATAATAGTTATACATACTAATATTCTTTTTCTGAATCAACTTATGTTTAATCATAGTACTGACAACCTTTATAAAATCATTTGTCAATTTCTCAACATATTCAAAAGTTACACACAATCTAATTTTATTAAAAAACCATTTTTTCCTTGAATGAACTGATCTTTGACACTTCCAAATTTCTGGTATCCATTCATTAACTATTTTATATGAGTGAACAGAACCGCAGTTTTTACAAACCATTTTATTGTTATCTGAAATAATTTCTTGATTTTCACAACATAAGTATGTCTTATCATATCTATTAATATAACTATCACATATCTTTTTATCACAAAAGCAACAATTTACGTAACCAAAAAACTCTTCTAACTCTTTATGAATCAATTCATTACAGTACATATAATATAATATAATATTATATCTTTAAGTAATTTTATATAATAAATAACCAGATATACCACCAATCAAAACCATTGTAATAGATTGATAATTTTTCATATTCTTAGATGGTTTGTAAAAGTCATTTAGTTGAGGTTCTCTATGAAATGTTAACCCATTATAATGTATAGTTTTTACTTTTCTAAGCGCATCTAGAGCTTTGTTTGTCAATTCTATATCATCATCAGCATATTGAAGTTCTTGTCTTAGCTGTTGAATTTTATCATGCTGCTTGACTTCATTTTCATAGAATGCCTCTTTAGCCTTAGATAGGTCCTCTAGAGCCTTGTTGTGTCTTTTAATTTCCACAGCGTAACCGTTTTTATCAAGTTTATGAAATAGAAAGCTGGCCAGAGAGAAACCTAAGCCATTTACAATAGATCCAAAAACTGTTCCAACCCCACTAGTAATAACACTTGTCATATATATTTATACAGATTTAACTGGATTTTCAGGAATCCATTTTTTATCCTGAGCATATTTAACTAGCATTGTTGATGTTGTAATAGCAATAGCTAATTTAGCAAAATCTTTGATACTGTTTGTGTCTGTTAATTTTTGACCTAGTAGTTTTTTAGAAGCCATAGAAAAACCTACAGCAGTTGTTGTCACAAGCACTGCATCAAAAGCTTCATTCATAAATTGTTTCTTAGTCATAGTATTACTCATATATAATAGGAAATATTTTATTCAAATGAGTCTAAATTATATTTTTTATTTTTTTGTATCAAAACATGTTTTTCACTAGTTGTTTCTTCTCTTGCTTTATCGTTTGTTAATTTTTCCTGCCTCTTATCATCTTTCCGTGTATAATAGAGGCTAGCAATAGCGGTTATCATTCCAACTACTCCAAATAAAAAGCCGTAATTAATATTAATATTCCAGCTATTGTCCTCAATTTTCTTTTTATTTTCTAATTCAATCCTATCTCGCATCTTTTTTTCTTTAGAAGCTTTCGATATAGCAGCCAAGCGTTTCCCAGCTTCGACTCTAATAGGGTCTTTCTCTTTCTTAACTGTAGTTATCTTTAGATTTTCTTCAGACATGTTATATAATACTGTAGATTTTGTTCACAGATAACTCAAAGATAACTCATAGATAATCTTATAGATAACTTACAGATAACTCACAGATCTTTATATTTTTTATTATATTTACTCACCATACCATCTATAGTAGTACAATTGTCTATTATAATATCATCTATAACTTTTACGTCTGATAGAAATATCACTTCATCATAAGGTAATCCTCTTAAATAAGATCTTATATCCATAAGTATTTTTTCATATGATGTATATGCAAATTTACACATTTCTAAGTTATTATTAATCTTACTCTTAACCATATAGCCTTGAATTAAAGCACCTAAACCACTCAGGGTGGCTATAACTATCGGGTTGACGGTTATACTACCTACAATACCAGCAGTCGAGACTAGAACAATACTTCCCATATTTAATGATAGTCTAATTTTCTTCAATTTATTATACTTCCATTTATAACAGGTATATAACTTGTGATAGTACAAATACAACTTTTTAAGCTTTTCAAAT